TAAAGAATGGGATGGACAGTTTAGGTTTGTATTGTATGTAAGAATGGGATGGACAGTTTGGGGTTGGATTGTATGTAAGAATGGGATGGACAGTTTGGGGTTGGATTGTATGTAAGAATGGGATGGACAGTTTGGGGTTGGATTGTATGTAAGAATGGGATGGACAGTTTGGGGTTGGATTGTATGTAAGAATGGGATGGACAGTTTGGGGTTGGATTGTATGTAAGAATGGGATGGACAGTTTGGGGTTGGATTGTATGTAAGAATGGGATGGACAGTTTGGGGTTGGATTGTATGTAAGAATGGGATGGACAGTTTGGGGTTGGATTGTATGTAAGAATGGGATGGACAGTTTGGGGTTGGATTGTATGTAAGAATGGGATGGACAGTTTGGGGTTGGATTGTATGTAAGAATGGGATGGACAGTTTGGGGTTGGATTGTATGTAAGAATGGGATGGACAGTTTGGGGTTGGATTGTATGTAAGAATGGGATGGACAGTTTGGGGTTGGATTGTATGTAAGAATGGGATGGACAGTTTGGGGTTGGATTGTATGTAAGAATGGGATGGACAGTTTGGGGTTGGATTGTATGTAAGAATGGGATGGACAGTTTGGGGTTGGATTGTATGTAAGAATGGGATGGACAGTTTGTGTTTTTATTGTATGTAAGAATGGGATGGACAGTTTGGGGTTGGATTGTATGTAAGAATGGGATGGACAGTTTGTGTTTGGATTGTATATAAGAGAATGGGATGGACAGTTAAGGTTTTGTATTTATTGTATGTAATAATGGGATGGACAAGCGATATATATATGATTAGGTGATAGCAGCTTTGAATTGCTGGTGGTGACGGTTCTGGGTGATGCTGTATCGGACAAGTAAATCTGGTCCAGAGGAGTCATAAAGAAGTCAATAGGATAAACTGGCTTCCTCCACAAACATCCTGAGTAAACAGTGACAGCCCCCTCACATTTCAAGTATATACTGTGTAGAGGACGGTTGGCCAAGCTGAGCACAGATAGATAAGTATGGCCAGGGAAGGTTATCTCTAGGTCAACTCTTCCGTGGATAATTGCCGATCATATCCACCGCACTGATATTCAATCATATCATATCCTGGAAAAATGGCTTTTTTCTATCGTTTATGTAGATAGAGGGATAGTTCCATTACAATGAGTGTATATAGATTGTACAATTTATATTGAATCAGGGCTCTGAATACATAGATGCATGATAGATGTTTAATCCAATAACGCCACGACTATGGATTTTTTCATCGACCTCGGAGACTGATGTTGACTTAATTTGTTATTATGGTAGAAAAAAGTTTCATTTCTTGGTAACAGCACAAATATATATATGTATACAGTTCCTGAATTGTCGTGGGTTGTCAGCGATCATTCAATAAGTCACAATTCTATGGCAGCAAAAACAAATATTGAATACAGGAAAATGTATAGATTTTATTTTAATTTCCCCTTTTTATTGTCTACTTGATTTGTCGGTAAGCAAATCTAAATTGATTTTGTGTTCCCCATCTGTCAATATCCTGGCCGTTAATAGTGCTAGGTCTATTTATGAAATCCGTTAGATATCTGATCCATAGGTGTAATGGGGCTCCCTTGGGGAAGCCCTTGGGACAATATAAAGGAATTACAATATAAAGCTTAGGATAAAGCCACAATTTTCCAACGTCTTTGTGATAGGCATCTGTGGGTGTCAGGCCTGTCACAGATCTGTAAAACTAAGTTTTAGGCTTCAGCTTTTTCCTATAGTAAAGACTTTAATACACTGGTTGATTGTTCAACTTTTTCCTATAATTAAGATTTAATACACTAGTTGATTGAGAATGGACCCCATTTTGATTTCGTCTTCAGTTGAAGAATTGCTAACATAGAGTCCTGTGAATGGAGTGATGTCCCTTGCCACAACAGCAGTGTTTTATGGTGGTTTCAAAATAAATTGAAATATTCTATGGAGTTTAATGCCTGTCACTCTAAATTATTTCTTGAACTTGTGAACCTAAATATGTTACTTGCAATCCCGTCATTGGAAAAGGGATATGTTACATGCAATTTTGTCATGGGAGAGAAATGTTGCATTTTATTCTGTCAACATTTAGCTGAATGACACAGAAATGAAAATTGAAGGAACTCTTGGTCTCAAACAACTTGATGATGTAGAAGTGACAAATTAACACAACACAAAACTACCCACGATTTTGTCGCTAGGATGGCAGTTCTGTAATTTCATTTACATTTTCTTTCTTTTTCTTGACAAAGTGCTGAAGTCTTTAAAGAAATGCTTAAAATTGTTAATTTACATTTCAGTATTTTTTTTCCTTCAAGAACTTGGCTTTAGTACTGCTATGAGAAATTCAGGAAAATTTTCTTTTGTATTTTTGTGCAATAGTTTATGACATATTCAAAATAAATATCCTATTAATTTTCCAATGGGATATTTTCAAAAACTACTTTTTTTCTGAAAAATGAAATTATTCAATTAGAATTTGAAAATTCTCCTGATTTGTCTTTTCCTGAGGTATATTCATAAACTAGTGTATTCTTTTGATAAACAAAACTTCTTATTTTCTGTATATTTGTTGGTTAGGAAGTCTAAACTGTTCTGTTGACTTAAATATTTTGTTTCAAATGAACTGTTTTGACTTGCCAACACAAACAGGGTTTCACCTCCTCCCTACTTGACACAATCATCTGCTCTGTTCAGTGTTATCAGTTAGCAATGGCAAGCCCGCCTAAAAAAAATACCCTAATGTCTATGTCATCTTCTCTGATTATGAATCAGTTGCCTTTTGTGGAAACCTCGAGTGAGGAAGGTGCCCTATTCAGGTACATGTCCATGGATAATCTATGGGTTTACCTTTAATTTGTCACGAAATTCCCACTTGATGTAAAGTTTGCCATGGTAGGTATTCAGTTAGATTCACAAGTTGATACATTGATAAGATTACTGTGTGTGATTGTATGTTTTGTCGTGGATTCTTTAGATTCCATATGCAATGTGATAGTTGTATCGAGGTTAGGCTGTCAATCCGATAGGTGTAGGATAGGCTACACAGTCTACCTATTGAAGGTACACTGCAATAATAACCTTATCAGCTTTTATCGAGGCGCTGTATTTTAATCTTTTCTTCTTTAAACAGGGAAGTTTTCATAAAGTAGATGTGAAACTGAAAATAAATTGTATTTCTTGAGTAGGTATTCATAAGTACATAAAGTGTATTTAAGAACTTTACTTTTTATATGCCTTGTATGTGTCGGGGAAGTATTTAAGAAAAAAGCGACAAACTAGCATTGAAATTATGTATCATATGCAAACAGACCGAAGGTCATAAGGAAATTTCAAATCTTAAAAAACATACCTACCCTTAAATCAAATTACAGGGATATAGGGAAATTAAGTTAAATGGAGGGAAAAGGAAGCTTACATATCTGTTTACACAATAGGTAAAAAAATGTGTGGAAGTCTTAAAAAGTAATTCTCAATTTCAGGATTTATTTAGAAGTTATTTGTACCAGGTATTATACACAAATTTTGTTCCGATGATATACCAAATTTTACCACAATCTAGGATGACGTGTTTTGGAACCAGAAGTCTTGAATCAATTTGCAAAATTAATGAAATAAAGATTAGACTACATCAGGATGATGTAATATTTTATAAGAATTATGTAATAGTGTATAGAGTTGAACATGAATTACGATAACGAACGTATCTTTGCTTATATCGATATTGACACTATGTAAATACACTTTAAATCGTTTTCCTTTGACAAACAAAGTTTGATTGTTGGTTAAGCTGAAATATTGGTTGCCTAGGCATCCAACAGGTGAGGCCACTGTATTGACTTAACTCCCTAACGGGCCCCTCACAGGTAGGGCCAGGTAAGCCGACGTTTGGCGTACCTGTATATAATTGTATATAATTGTCTTTCATTTCCTGTGTATATGCCTAACAGGACTCAAGTGTTGACATACAATGTACATCCGGTGGTTAATACATTCATATTTCAAATGTTAGCGTTAGGGCTGACATACTTTTGCTGTATGTTAATACAGCCAGATTATCAACAATTGCCTTGAAAAGAATGAAAGAAATCAGAAAAGAATGAGAAAACTTAGATATTGCACGTGACCACTTATTCACAAATGTAACATAAAGGTGGAACTACGGCAACCTGTCGGTTTAAATACAGCTATGATAAGCACCCAATAGAATGGCAATAGGTGAGGTAGTAGGGTAAATAGATCTATATATATAGCGTGTTGTCAGGTAAGATAAAGCAGGACACACATTTAAATCAGTCAAATTACATCTACGTATCAGTTTATAGGTAGATCTCTATAATGAATATTTATGCTAGATATGTCCTGATTGGCTGCTGTTGTTGCGCACGCCTTGAGTGAACTGATAGGACCATTCACCATGATGCCTCCATAGGCTGCGGTACTGGTAAGTACCAATATACTACACGTTACGTACAGCTGCCAATCCCGCTGTTCCGTGCATACATCTGCACCACCACACCACAGCCTCACCATCATGCGTCGAAGTTCTAGGTTAGGTTTACCAATCGGAAACTTGTTCATTTGGATCACAGAATAGCTTTCAGGAAAAAAATATTGCTAGCAAGTTTGATTCTTTGAATTATCTTTGAATCTAATTTGATAGATTTTGTAATTTCAACAACTACTAACATATGTTAATGAATGATAGAACACTGCCTGATCATTGTTCAGTTACCTGATTAGAAAATTGAAAGAAAATGCATTATTTTTGGAATAAAACAAAACTTTGAGTGATTTTGTGAATGCCAGTGAACCGATTGGAGCCAGCGTGACCCTGATTGTCAGAGTAGCAGGCGCTAACACACCTGAGTCAAAGCGCCCTACAAAAGATGCATAGCAATGATACTGATGGAACAAGTAATTAATTGGTTTAAACTTGTCATTTAGAGACAAAAATGTTTGGGGACTGTGTTGGATGTGGTGTTAAAACCGTTGATGCTGATGTAACATCTCGCCATTGTTAGTCAGCTAATACCGAAACATTTATACATTTATGCTTCGGGACTTGCCTGTTTTCAAAACTTTGAAAAATTATTGATTTCTGTTGAGCTGTGTGATAAGGGGTTGTTCCATAGACTTGTATGTATGAGGAGGTCGGTGCTGGTACTTGTAGGGAGCAGATGGATGGCGATGCGTCGGGAGGAGGCTCAAACAGCGGTAAGTTTGGTAACATGTTGATCGGAGGAAGCAGTTTGGGAAGGTGGGGCAGTGATATCCTTGAAAGATTAAGCATTTTCATTAATTATAGAACAATGTCTTGAGAAAATTTTACTGACAATTTGTGTGATGTTACGCAAACAGATTGTAATCCTAACTTGTGGATTATCTAAGCTGTTAGTCCTGGATGTACCTCGGCTATAAGTTGTAGATACCTACTTGATCGTGTTCAGGTGTGACGGTTTTGTCTACGTACTTGTGTTAGTGGGATGTAATGGTGATTGGGTACCACGTAAGGTGGACGTTGCCAGTGTGGAGATGATGGTTTACAGGAGGTATGGAGGGACGCTGATTGCACCGCAGTGATGTAATGTACAGGATAGCCACTATCAAGGTACCAGAGGCCCGTGCACGGTTTAGGCGTTGGGGTAAGAAGCAGAGGTTAATGTCTTACTGGCTATTGATTTTACTGGTCAAGGCGGGTAAACCATTAATTGGGTGTGATTACTGTGAATCAGCCATGGTACAATGCTTTATACTGGGTAGTAGGAGTGTACCCCGCTACCAGGCTGGCCACACTATACCCAGCATTGATTATCTGTCACATGGTCTAATGTACAACATCGTACATCTAATGTCAAACACAGAACAATTATAGCTTTATGTTCTTTGACACTTCCAAACTCTAGGATAGGCATATCATGTGAAACTTAACTAACATATGTCCATATAATGATCAAATGCACGTAACATTTTATATATGTACCATTGTAAAATTGGTTCTGTTACATGTTTTACTTAAAAAAAATATCTGCTTATTCACTTGTACTGTTTAAATATCTCGCCTTGTGTTAAAGTATACCCTTTTAATTATTTGAAAGTTACTCAGTGGAATTAGTTCATGATTTTGGTTAAGGTTACCCAGGTCTACATACAAGTATTCCTATGGAGCAGGCTACTGTTAACCTTTTCAAGTTAAGAAAGAGTAATGGATGTCTTACTGTTAGCATTTAATGTTACAATAAACCTAATGTCCATATGTGCACAATGTTATTTTAAGATTGGCGAAATAGTTACTTTGTGATTTTGTTCTTATTTCATATTTTTTCTAATAATTGATGAATTTGTTTTCAAAATTGTAAATACTTGAAATTTTAAAGAAAACACTACATGGAGTTTTACAGAAAATTTTGATTTTTTAATTTCCTGATTATTAATTCCTATTGTAAGATTTGATAATGATACGTTAATTAATATTGAGTTGGATTGACTTCCTCACTAAAGTAAATTGGTATTGATAGAATATTGAGGATATCAGTTGATGGTAGTAGAGTAATAAAATAGTTAAGAAAACTGATCATTTTTAAACATTAAAATAATGAGATCAAATTTAGGCTCCAAGAATTTCTTTTTGTTTCTGGAAACAAATATACAGCTTGTTAATAATTAGAAATTTTATTTATTTTGCAATAATTATGAAAAACAAGTTTGATCTACTTACCATACTTATTGGCTAGGGTGTAATTAGCACACTTGTTAGAAAAAGTAGACTAGGATAAAGTTGCTTGTATTCGGTTTATGAGGTGTATCTTAAACATCGGTATCCTTTATTGTCTATATTTGAAATATTCATGTTTGAAAAGTGTGTTTAATATTTCATCCATGAAAGTTTTATTTACGGAAATATGTCTTTAAAGTCTGCCAAAAAAAGGCAGGTAATAAATGTTGCCAATTTCACAGTGATAACTTTTAGGTGTGTTATCGTTCTATGATATCTGTTAAATTTTCAATGTGTATGGCCTTGTTTTATACAATGGGGAAGAGCTTTCTATATACTACTTTATTTCCTTTAAGTTATATATTTCACAGTGTTAGTTTAAAAACTGCAAGTTCTTATACGGTTTTAGATAGAGATGCATTAGACCGCTGAACAAAACCCATCTTTCTTTTTTTAAGTTTCTCTATTTGAGATTTAAACATAAAGAAGGTAGAACTGTAAGTGGTGTTCTTCTGTTTAACATGTTACTGGTGTAAAACATATTGGTTGTTTAGAATCCACGGAGGATTTGTTAAATGTTTGGGTCAATTTGACCTATCATTTTGGTTGTTGGTTTGTCATCTGTCATGTATTTTGTTGGGTGATTGTTCCCACAGCGATGATGTGCTACTGTCATGTGTAGTCATTGGACAGATCACTCCTGAGAACAGATAGAACCCAGGCTACTGATAAGTGCATCTTTACTCATTCAGTTTTAACATTTCTCAGATAAACTCATGAATACCAATGGAGTTGGAGCCGAGTTTGGGGAATTTTATTCATCAAGCCCGCCATAGTTTGAAGGTACTATTAAATTTCAAACAACAAAAGACTTTTCGCTTGGGGAGAAATTCAAGTGCAGTAGAAATATGTGAAGAGGACATATATGTATGTTTCCGTTGAATTGTGGCAAGAATGTGTAGCCCGAAGACCGAAAAATGGCAGTGCGTTGTCGCGGCAACCCGCAGAGGAAGAGAACAAAGCACTTTAGCGGTATATGTCATGGTATATGTACTGACGGAGTCAAGGAATCAACTTCAATTACCCTGACCATTCTCCACTGAATTATTCCCAAGGTCCTCAAAAGGTTAAATGTTAGGGCTGCACAAAGGTCCTTGACAATCGGGATGCCACTGGTGAATGGTAGGGAGGGTGAGATGGTCAGTCATTGTTGCATTCTGCTCTGCGGGGAGGTGTTCTTTGGAAGTCTGACCCCTCCAAACCAAAGGTCAACTTAAAGGTCAGCAGACAAGAAGACAGACGGAGCTGTCCACTCACAATGGACATCCTCTTGTTATGAAAATTGTGTAATCGCTCCGGACACTGGTGTTGTTATGGTCACTCCGTTGTCACAGCTGGTCAGTGCGGGGTTACTTGACAATGTCTCAAGTTCATTACCTTCCAGTTGACTTTTTAAGCTTACTAGTGGTCAGCTTGTGACAGAGGCCGCTGGACATATATATGGTAATTAGAATCGTGTTTCATACTGCTTTAAGAAAATAAATTCCAACAAATTTGTTACAGTCACCGACTTCTATAGAGTCTCCTTTAGGTATAATGAGATCGGACAGTTACAAAGATAGAGATTAAGCTGTCAAACGGGTGAATGGAAACTTTTCCTTTACATTTTCAAATGCTTTGAAAAATAGCCTCATTTAAATTTACATTCTTAACTACTTCACAGATGGGCAGATATCCGACAAGTGTTGTGTGATATAGAGAACCAGAGTTTAGTATGATATAAAGCATTATAGTTCAGAGCTAATTGATATCGCAAAATAATTTATAGCAATTACAGATACTAAAATGATTAAAATTTATGTTACCGTTGTTGAGTTATTGCCTTCCTCTAGGAAAATTAGAATCTAAAGTTTAGAGGCAGAAAATCAATATTTTCATCAAAACTGTTTCATAATAGGAAAGGGTAGAATCGAAAATGTAAGCAATTATTCTTTTCAATATTCCAATTCTTCTCTGCATCTCTTATTTAAAATATTGGCTTTCTTGGCCGTTCATTGATAGGCAAGGGTACATGATCTGCTGGCAGGAATTGCATTATCATTTTTCATGTTTTTGAGATTTTTTCTCCACTTCTGATGATGCATTTATAATTGTTAGGGAACAGGTTGGTCAGAAATGAAAATTTGAAATATTACATAATTTCGTGTGTTACTAATGACGTTCATAATGTGCAATACCTCGCACATTAAAAGATTGCTGATTGTTTTTTCTCCCTACATGTCCAATATAACCTCTGTGTAAATTATGTGTAAAATTTGAGCCCATCTGAAATAAAAACTCTGCATCACGGAACATTTAGATTTGAGATGCTTTTAACTAATGCAAGGTTAAACTTTTCACGTTTTGATTTATCCTTGTGTGAATCTCATTGTGAGAATGCCATTCATTAGATCACCACGGTTACTTGTAATGACCCACGCAATTTGTGTTTTGTATTGTGGGTCAGTTACCTTTTGAATTGCCTCTGTCAATTTGAATTTAAAATTTTGATAGCGATTTCTTTTGTGATTCACAATTGAGTTTTGTTGATGAATTGGAACTGAAGAATTACTGCTACTTCACTGTTAGATAACAGGCAGGGTTTCTTTTGTGAACCCCCCTTTAAAACAAATGTAATCCAACATATTTTGTTGCTGTATTTCAAAGTTTGCTGTCAGTACTACAGATAGCAAAAGAAATAAACTAAATAACATATTTCAATATTGGAGTTATATTAGGACTTCACTTCAGACCTTTTGAATTATAACATGTTGTGGTGGCCTTAAGTAGCCCTTCTTGTGGACTCTGATTTATAAACATAGGTTCTAGTGGTTGCCATGGTGTCAAAATGACATCAGTAATCATGACTGTCAGAATAATGTACGTGTTTCCATGACAATGGACACATGATTTAAGATGGCATTTGATTCTAAGACAGATCTGGCTGCCCCATACATTATATAATTATAAACTTGGAATCATCAACTGTCATAATTGTCGAGGAGTGGGCTGATGACGTATGCACAAGCAATGTTACCTAAAACCCCTAACATGCAGTTACCATGGCATCAATAACCACAGTCACTTCACACTTGGTTTAAAATTGGTTACCATAGTAGCTATGCATAACTAGCTGCCAGCTGGGCGGGATTTTGGGAGAAGAATGTTGGAACCTCCTATCCCAGAGCTGTACTATCATACTCCCCAATATCTTCAGTATCGCTTTTTTAAGACAATTGAGAAAGTGATAATAAAACAGGCCTGTATTGCATCATTTCAGTGTTTTAATGTGTTACAGAGTTGATGTAAAATCTGATGTAGAGGACGGCTGTCGATAGGGCTAAGACTTTCATTGGATCCGTGACACTCACCAGCTTTACCGCATGTAACCCCATGCAGTTACACCCCGGAACGCTACAATCAAACTACACAAAAGAATTATTTACCCGATAAATTGATTTAT